ATTATAGTTTATACACTTTACTTATTTATAAAACCGAAAACAAAAAAAAAAAACTTACAACCTTACAACAAATAAATTACGAGTTAAATTAGGTACTACAATTCTAGCTACTCTAATCTGACCATTAACTTAGCAACCTTGTTTAATGAGTGTTCTATAGGAGATTGAATAGAGATGCGATCGCGTTCGATGCAAACGTGTCCGTACCACAGCCCAGTAGTAAAGTTATCTTACTTATCCAGGTTTCACTATATTACAATGTCGCATGGATTTATACAGAAACAGAAAATGGATACATAAACAAAATGCATTCGCAAGATATTCAAAGCCTGGTTAATGTGTTACAATGATACACGAGTACACGGCAACAAGCACATACATTACGAGCAATCAGTTTGTAGAGTATATTTTAAAACTCATAATGAACGAATTTGATTCTTATCATTCAAATAACGAAATAATTATTAATCTTATTATAAATTTAATTCGTGAGTAAGAGATTTAAAAACACTCATATCTATTTATATATCTACAACACTCGCTAAAGCATTAAAGACCGGCGCAGTCTTACCAGGTTAACCTTCCTCACTTAACCCAAGGAAGTTATTAAGCTTAACTTTTTAAAATTTAAATTATTTCTATTCCGCATTTTAGTGTATAAAAAAGTTTTATGCAACTTTTTGCGAAATCATATCACATAAAACGACATAATACTATGAAAGTATGTCACTTCGATTTTATGAAAAGAAAAAAAAGTCATCTCAATATCCCAAGTCCAAACAGCAAATTTTAATGATGTATTGCTTACGTAAAAGTCTTACGAATTTACCGACTTTCTTAGCAATATTTTTTTTTTTCATTATAAACGTTAAGTTTACAGAAACAGCTCAATGTGTGCTCCGCCTTGCTCAGTATACAACCTCGTTCGTCGGGATATGGCTTTTGTGGCATTTCGCACCGTTGTCGGTGTTATTGATGTGAAAACCGATCTAACACGCTGTTCCATCTCGGCAATTATTGGGCAATCGAAGAAATACACTCTCTCCTTCACATAGCCCCACAAAAAAAGTCCAAGGGTGTGAGGTCCGGAGAATGAATAATAGGCCATAGCACCGGTCCCTCGCGGCCGATCCACCATCGCGGAAAGCAAACGGTAAGATGTTCTCGTACGTTGCGAGCAAAATGCTGAAACACCATGTTTCTTTGGTTCTCATAGTAATTCCAGTCAGCCACAGGAAAGTCGTCAATGGCCTTTTCGAATTCCGTTTGTAAAAACGTTAGATAGTTGTTACTGTTCAGAAGTGATGGCATAATGACGGGACCGATGACATGCCCGTCATAAAGGCCAGCCCACACATTCAGCCGCCACTGGTGATGGAATCTGCCCGCCGTGAAGCATATAGGTTCAAACGAACCCAAACTATCGTTATGCATATTTGAAAGTCCTGAACTCGTGAATGTTGCCTCGTCCGTCCAAAGAACATAGTTTACGTAATTAGAGTTTTCCTCTAACTGCCTGAGGTACCACTCGCAGAAGTTATGGATGAAAATCGGAGGGTATCAGCTCCTGTGTACGGCGATAAGGGTGACGATTATCGTCACGAAGAATTCGTCAAACTGCAACATGGTTTATACCGAATCTTGTTGCGGCTCGCATCGTACTTGTGGTCGGCTCCTCTTCAAAATGCTCTAACACTAATTAAGCTTGCCTGGCGTCAATTGTGTTTGGACGTCGACTTCCAATAGACCGTTGAAAAGAGCCGGTGGAATGTAGTCGTCTTGACATGTTCCGAAAACACTGGTACGAAAGTAACCGTCGCTGTTCAGTGGTGGGTCTACCATCGATAAATCGTTGTCGATAATGATAATTGAGTTCGCGAGCACGATTTAAATTGCTATCTTCATGGCCTATGCATAACATCATATCGTAATATTCCGAGTTAGAATGCAGAAAATGTTAGGAAAAAAGTTCGAAACAGTTGTAGGATATCGATTAGAAGATTTGAAATTGACAACATATTTATTTTTTCCAACTTAACATATTTTTAAGCCAGTACTTAAGTATAATAACATATTTGTATTGAAGTAACAAACATATATGAATGAAAAATATAACAACTATTAAAGACGACAATTACTAGGTAAAATAGATACGTAGGCCTTTCGGTTAAATAAAATGGTTCCCTGACATGACAGCTTACTACAGTTGACAAAATTTTTGGTTTAAAATTTGACGGGGTATTTTGTAACATTGTAGTATATAATTGAACGTCATTTACTGTTTTTAACCTTGCTTTGAATCGTAATCAACAATACTTGATAATTTATGAAATATGTCTGCATTTGTGCCGTAAAAAGTGTTTTTGCGTAAGATTTTATTTCATCATATTATGAAAAAAGTTCTGTTGAAGCTCATCGTATCCTAGGGGAAATGTATGGTGAACATGCTTTAGCTGAGCAAACATGTCGGAAGTGGTTTACACGTTTCAAAGCTGGTGGTTGGAAGACAAGGAGCGAACTGACCAGCCGAATAAAATTGAAAATAAAGAGTTAGAGGCATTGCTCAATGAAGACTCACCTCAAGCACTTCAAGAATTGTCTATCATTGGAATCAATGGAAGTTGACTTATCAACGGTAGGAAAAGGTCTCTCGAAAACTTTAATTATAATCCAGAAGAAGGGACATTGAGACGCGTCTTTTGAGGTGTGCCGCTTCAACAAGAGTAAAGAAAAGGTTTTTTGCATCGAATGGTGATAAATAATGAATCTATTAAGGTCGGTCAACTATTAACATCAGTTGCAAAGCAAAATATCCATAGGTCTGTGTACTTGGTGGGATCAGAGGGTTGCGGTTTATTATGAACTGCTGAAATCGAAAGAAACCATAACTGGGGATCGCTACCGACTGCACTTGATGCGATTGAGTCGTGCTATGAAAGAAAAACGGCAGGAATACTCCGAGAGACACGACAAGTGTTTTTGCTGCACGAAAATGCTCGTCTACATGTCGCAAAACCTGTACAAACGTACCTAAAACACTTAATGGAAAGTCCTACCGCACCCGTCGCATTCTCCAGATATCGCTCCTTCAGATTAACCTTTGTTTCGTTCGATGGCTCATAGTCTGTCTGAGCAGTTCACTGTACACAAAAAAAATGATTCGATTCGTGGATTGCATCAAAAGGCGAGGCGTTCCTTCGACACGGTATTTTTACCCTGTCCGAAAGGTCACAAGTAATAGAAAGCAATTGGCAATACTTTCATTAGTGTATTTTTTTTATTTTACATTGATTTTTTTTTTCATTAATATGGCTACAAATACATTTGAACACCTTACAGATATTATGAGATTTTTTTTTATTTTTTTTTATTGCTTAAATGGGTGGACGGTCTCAGTATAGTTACAACGACTGCCCCACCCTTCAAACCGAAACGCATTACTGCTTCACGCCCGAAATAGGCGGAGTGGTGCTACCTACCCGTGCGGATACACAAGAGATCCGACCACCAGGAATTACGCAAATTATAGTTTTGCGGGTTTGATATTTATTACACGATGTTATTCCTTCACCGTGGAAGTGAATCGTGAACATTTGCCAAGTACGTATAATATTTCATTAGAAAAGTTGGTACCCGTCTGCGGGATCCGAACACCGTTGCATCGCTTGATACGAATGCAAGGGACTTAGGATCTTATCCTTTAGGCCACGACCGGTTTTGTAACAGGAAGTTAAAATAAAAGACCTAGCCATTTTAACAAGCGTCAATTGTATGATTTTTATAGCTGCATATATCTGAATAGCTGGTTAAGCATTTCATCTAATTCTGGTTGTCTGTGGTCCTGCTTTACTAAATGTTTGGTATATTACTGATGCAAGCTTCAAAATAATTCCTTCCACCTTTATTCTTAAACATGGTTCCACATCCACATTTTTCTACTCCCAAATCATATGAAGTGATAATATAATATCTTTGAAGGATTCATCAATGTTCAACTTGCACAATTTATTCATTGAGAATTTGTTCCGATCACCTAGCAATCACTTTGAAATGACTTAATGTTTTTTTTTTTGTATCTTTTACATAATTCATACTTGCTATTAATTAAAAATGAAACAGAATATAATTATTTGACCTGTGTAAAAGACCATCAACTGCATATCAGTTTAATTAGTTGCGAGGCAAGTGTTAAATTTTTTATCAAAATAATATTACAGATTGATTTAACTTGTAAAATCTGCGCCCATCTTAAAGCTTAGGTTCGAGATAATGTGTCAACTATAACTTAGGTAACATTCTAAGGGGTATTTGACTAGTTTAAATAAAACATGATGCCAATTCAAATACGACGTAAATAACAAATAGATACAAATTTTTGTTGTTGCAAATATATTTCGACTGACGATAACAATGAAATCAATTCAGTCAAACTTTGTAACAATTCCCTAAGCAAATTTTGAGTATTTTATGAGTCAAATACCCATCAATCTGTCATCATCATTAATAATTCTAAAAATACAATCCTCTTCATAGCACGCTCATCAATGTGATGTTTTTGTAAAATATATCTTATCTCTTTTATACCAACAGTCTTGTAATTGTATCAGTAATTGTTATTGTACGTCATTGCGACCTAATGCATTTACACGACAAATGTGATTTTAAATTGGGTATCAAGAATATTTCACATTGCATTTACTAAAAAAAAATCATTTGGCTTATGCTGTTAGTGGTAAGCATAAAACAAATGAAATTAACGATATAAAGCTTTTGTGATGAATTGTTATTTTCATAATCTGTTTTTTTATTATTATTGGCAATGATCAATTTCCACATGATTTTAAATTTTGTAAAACCCCAATTTTACCATAACTAATCAATGCTAAAGCAGAAAAACCAGAGAAAACAAAAGTGTAAATTTAATTTAGACTGCAAAACCTTTCCTTGATCCAATTGTGAAAAAAATAAACAAACTAAAAAGAAGGTTTAAATTAACATACCCTTTAAAGACTGTAGATATTCATAGATGTGTGGTGCTGCGTAATCTGATGGCATTTTTCCCTTGCTGTTCTTCACAAATGGGTCGGCTCCATGCTCAATAAGAAATTTTACCATCTTTAAGTTGCCAGACGTAGTGGCATCATGCAGAGGAGTGTCATCGTCCAACCCTTTTGCATTGACATTAGCACCACCATTTACGAGCACCACTACAACCTGATACCATCCATAGCTGCATGCTTCATGAAGAGGAGTCCATCCTAGAATTGTTACAGTTATGTAGACACATAGTTTTGTAACCATGCAGACATTTTGTTTTTGTGATAACTTTTAACAGTTATGACTAGAAGAAGATGAAGTAACACAGTGAAATAACTAGATGTTGCCAGTTTGATTTAGCTGCAAACAGTTTTTTTTTGTAACTTTACTAATGCAAAATATCACTATTTAGACTTTGAGGCCGACTTGCATGAGATGACTCCAGGTGAGTCCTAAAAGCTACATAAAATTATCATTACCCTCAATAAAAATAATACACTTAATAATAATTATGATTTTGTTACAAATAACAACAACCCTCAATATGATATAGTTAATAGTTTATTTTTAATGACCATCAGTTTGATACTAAGTATAGAAATCCATTCTACTCACTAAATGCAATGTAATGGAAAAGCTGACAAAAAAATCATCGACATGTGAAGCAAAACATATTATGTATGTAATTTGGCCTATCTATAGTTTTACCAATACTAATTTACGACTTAGTTAAACACCCACAGGACCAGCTTCATACAGTTAGTCTTGATTTTGGTATATGTTACACATAAGGCAGTTATTGTCATTAATTTTTTTTTTCAAATTTCATTGAGACATTTTGCAAGTCGGCCTTTGTATATTTTTAAAATCACTATTATATGTATGATATATTTTCTCAAAGTGAAAATATATGACATAAGGTTTGATTGCAACTAGATTCAATTAAATAAGCTAGAATTCAAGCATATAAATGTAAACAGATTCAAAGCCATCACATACAGAACAATTATCTTTACAACAAACACAAACAACTTATGCACAGCCTTATCACAACAAATATAAGCAAGGGAAAACATGCTATGTAATAATTTAGCAACAACATTCATACAGCACAGTTACTGACAAAATCTAGTTAGAAAGTTTAGCTGTGTATCAACTAATTACATTCTGTTGAACAATGATTGTAGTTTCTAGCCATAACATTGAAAAATTTACATCAACTACTTAATTTATTATGATTGATGAGGATGTAAACATTGCAGTCGAACCGTTTAATGAAAGTAAAACATCACATGGAACACTTTTACTAAACATTTAGTTTGAATACATTAATCAATAGATGCATATTACAACATAAGCAAACACTTGTATGTAACTTAACATCAAAATGTACTTGTCTAAATGATGACAACATATCTTTAGTTGATGATGACTGCAACTGCAACTAATAGTTTTCTTGCCATAGTTAGAAGAAAACTTCATAGAACTATTGGGAGCTATAGAGTTGAGGAAAAGGTAACAAAAATTCATGTTAAGTATTAAATTGTAACAACATTTTGAACATTGTTTAAAAATGATCAACAGTTTTCTGCTTTATCTCTTCAAATCACAATGGGTCGACAAAACCCTGCTCTTTCCCTTCATAAACATTTTCCCTTGTGAACTATTATAAACTGATAAACATAATAGGATTTAGTATTTTCTAATGTGTGTAAATATGTCGTATCGTTTAAATAATGGATAACACAATTTTTTATTTAAATACTAAATTTAATATAATTCATTAACATTGTGACTTTCAGTATCACTGCTATGTGAAATTATACAATACTTATCATCTTAAATTCACACTTCAACATTATACACAATACGAAATTTATGATTAGTACAGAAGCAGCATAAATACACTGTTAATATTGTTAATAATAGAAATAAAGTTGAATTAAACCACAACTCCCAGATATTAGGACACACATGGTAAACATTATTATTTGTGTTACATCACTTGAGCAGTTCAACAGTTAAAACACTTACCAGCAAAATCAGGAACATCCGGATCTTGACCCTGATCAATAAGCTTTTTCACTTGATCATGGTCTCCTCTAATAGATGCGACATGAAGAGGTGTTTCGCCACGCTCGTTGCGTTGTTGTCTTGTACGCTTTCTTTCTTCTGCTGGAGTCGGAGCGGCTGTACACGGAATTGGCGGGAAATTACATCTCTTTTCTGCAGATTCAACCAACCATATGTATACAACGAAGCCAAACCTGGAGGAGCATCTTGTGATGATATTTGCATCACCAAAGCCAGCTGCTGCCGCTCCGACATGGGAGCTATGACTTGAGTCCGAAGCGAGCCGTCAGACCCACGGCCGGAGCCCCTCGTTCGCGACGTCGACGGCATGGTCTGGGCATAACCACACGGCTAAACGTGAAATAACACTTACGACGCCGTAGAACAACAAGACATCATCTACACTGGATCACTGACGCGCTAATATTTTACACAAGATGTGCGACAACTATAACTTCCTCTAAAAACTAAACAAGCTTCGAGCTTCAATACATTTTTAAAAGTCACAAACACGTAAAATTAACACATTTGACACAGAATTGTGATTAACCATTGAAACTAAATAAAATCTCAGAAAATCAGTCAATAAGGTAAATAATCATTATCCAAATGAAGGTAGCTCGTACAACACTACAAACAGACATTTCGATGAACGAATCGAAACAACGAAAACGTTTACTTGAGATGAAAATTGTCTATGGCAAATGCAATCGATTTCTTCCGAGTGCGTTTTTTTTACAATTATATAGGACATAGGTCCTGAGAGATACAGGGTTCCTAAACTATTATTTTCTTATCCAGTCACGCGAATGTGCCAGTGTTCGAATCTCGCAGACAGATAGATACCTTACATTACATACATACTTATAATAGCTTCACGAATGACTTCCACTGTGAAGAAATAACACAATGTAGTAAAACTCAAGCCCGCAAACACTTCAATTTGCGTAATTAGTGGTGGTAGGAGGTGAGTCCACACGGATAGTTACTACCACTCTGCCTATATATGCCTTGAAACAGTAATGTGTTTCAGTTTGAAGGGTTGAGTAGTTGTTATACTGTAAAAGAGATTCAGAATTCATGCTTCAAGGTGGGTGGCGCTATTTACGATTTACGTTATTGATGTCTATGGGCTCCGGTATCATCATAACCCCAGGTGGACCACGAGCTCGTCCCCCGATCTACGCAATAACAAAAACAAAAATGCGTTCACTTTGTTATGACCATCGAAAGATGTACTACCGTAAATCCGTATTATCGTTGGGAATGGACAGTTCAAAATAATGTTAGATGAAAATGAACTAATTTAGTTCCTTGCTTGATAGGAGTTGATGCTTCAACTGTCAGTTGATTTAGACTAGGACAGGATCCCGGACTGTTGAGGCGATCAGTGCAGTTCTTATTTATTGGGTAAAGGGTGGTTACAAGTATTTTTGACGTGAATACATCTTTAAAATCACTTCCATAGGGACGCAATCAAAAAAAACGAATGATAACAAAATCAGAGGGATACAGTTTAGTGTTGTAGCTACATATCTATCATCTCCATCCAAATTTCAGTTACATCACTGGATAGCTAAAGAATCAAAGAATTTATTACGCTAAGTAAGGACTGTAACACATCGCGCGCGGGGGAGGGGGAAGCCCCGCCATTTTGAAGGTAATTTTGCTGCGTATCTGCGTATAGAGATTTCCATTTTCCATTTAGTATAACTTTCGACTCGGTGAAGCTACGACGTTCATTCAAGTTTCAATCGTCAGCTCTCGTCAAAATCTATCGATTATATATATAAAATTAGTGTAAAATTGTAACTGTGAATATAATGTGTTAAAATAAAATAAAAATATCGAAAAATATATAATGTCGGCCCATACGCGTCGAAAAGCCAAATCGAAATACAGATATCGTATAGGTACGGTTGGAAAGGGCATCTCAACAGCAATCGAATGGTACCAATAAAACACCATATGATCGAGTCAAGCAGTGCCGGCAACGTAAAGTAATGAATGCGGCCGAGCGGATCAACGACGGTGCCAGTACATCTGCAGCTGGGACGGTTGAAATTACGCAGATGGATGATGAAATCGCTTCTGTATCGACATCGGGCTTATGACACAGACCTATAATAAATAAAGTTATAGTAATCGGCAAACTTCTTGAGCAAATGACCTTGACTGCGCAGAACCGAATTTTAGGTCACTTTGGTGGTGAGGGTGAGGCGCGACGGCAGGGGAAATCGTATCGAGCGCGTTATTGGTAGATCAGTCGAACCTTGCGTCCCGCACCGCGCCCTCATTCCGCTTGCTCCCAAAAGTACGCTTGCGTACAGTGGAAAGTCTATCGTTATTAATCGTTAAGTTATTTGTTATAATTGCTTGTGGACTTTGTTGCCATTGCTATTTGTTGAGTGTTTGTTGATTTTTTATAAAACATACACTATGCCGTGACAAACTGGTGTAGTACTTAAAAGAAAGGGTAGAAAATTTGTGTACGACGTATATTGCTTCATTATAAAACAGGGGAAGAATGATATGGAAAAATTAAAACAGACTTCGGAAGCAACAAAAACATCAGTGAGTACTGTTAGGTGCATTATTAACGAAGCTAAAGGCTCTGGCTTGCTCGCCGTGTTTCGGACTCCGGGTAAGAAAAGATCAGGGAAGAAGAAAGTTACCGGAATGGATAGTTTCGTTCAATCTGTAATAAAAAGATGTAATCATAATAACTACATAACAAGCAGCGAAACTCCGTACCGTAGAAAGGCTTCGAAAAATTTAAAGAAGATATAAATTTTAATGGCTCGGAATGAAGCTTACGACGAATTATGAAAGAGCTAGGCTTCAGATGGAAAAAAAGAACAGAAAATAATCGGAAGCTGGTAAATGAAAAAAGTAACATTCGATTACTACGAATCGAATATCTTCAAAAAATAATTAATTATAGACAAAAAAGAAGACCGAATCGACCGAGTTGTAAACTACGCCGATGAGCCCTATGTCGACTCATCACGATGATAGCGACTCGGGTGATGAAAACAGTGATGATGATGATGGTCAAGATTATGATAACGAAAAAAAAATTACAAATACCAGCTTCGCTTTAACTGAACCAAGACCTGGCAACAGCTCTAGTTTTGACTTAATAGAAGGAATATCTATTTTACCCCAAGATTAAATTATTACAATTATTAACCTATATGTTTTGTTGATGTTCTAATAAATATATAAATAAATACATATGTTGATTTTAATAATTTAATAGCATTATGACGCAGAGTAAGTAATGTTTTTGCACGTGAGTGTACCATGCGCAAACTTACCCCCACTACGTCAACAAATGCTCAAGAAGTTTGCCGGTTATTATATAATACAGTAATTATAAAATATGTTTAGTTGATTTATTTCCTGAACCCATTAAATAAAAAAGTTGCCATCATAAACAAAACATGTATACCCGGAGGACTTCTTATGATTATGACATACATAAATAATAATGTTTTATATAGAAACTATTACCCGTTACGAGTCGTATTCACGTACAACAAACGGCCGTGTCCATAACACAGCCACACTCCTTTTTTTCTTTCCTGGTTAACGCAGGTGCTCTTGGAACAACGAATGAGTAAGTAAGACCTTAACTTTTGGGGTAATCTGAACATTTCTGGTGAATCAGATATCACTGGAATTCATTCCAATTATGGATTTTCAGCTGGCGACCTTTTTTGTATTCAATTCACTGTTGGATTAAAATGTTAGAGCACAATGCACTCACTGTGAGAATTGATGTCGCGAAAGTCTTCGATAAAATATGGCATACCTCAATTCTGTTGAAGAATCATCATACAGAGAATTCTTGAAAATCTCTACACGTAGATCGCTAGTTTTCTGAAGGTCGAATCTTAAAAGACGATCGTTGTCCTCTATTCCTATTATAAATACTTGTTGTTTGCATGCTTTTCGCATTGCATAACAAGGCCAATAACTTCTTATTTATTGTTGGCATGCATAATTACGGAAGGTGCACAATTCACCGGGTGCAAGAGTTTCTGTAGCATTGTTTTGAAGGAGCGATCAAAACATGTGTTTGAAGTCTCGGAACAATTTGAATCGAATCTCCGATTTCAGTTAATTCAATTTTGCTCAATGAAACAAGACAATACACAGAAGAAGGTTTTTTTGTTATTCCGCTGCAAATCCAAAAAACTGTTTATGGAATTGGTATTCATGGGTTCCATGAAATATCGACGATAGCGTTCAATAACGTAATCATTTAAAAGGAAAGTCTATTAGACTAACACTTTGTTTATCTCTCTCTCTCTTATGAATCGCTTCTGATGCTTCTGTTATCTCGTTACCATCACCCCCACCCATTGCTGGAACAAAGCTCGTCCATATTATGACCTGGAATCGTTGCAATCTATAAGCATCTGTCTAATTTATCTTTTCCAGAAATCATCTTACCGACTACCATTCGATTCCATGGTGTTTCCTCAGTGCTACGATATGTCTTTTTTCCTACGGCAGTGACGAGAGAATATAGTCGTTATATTAGCTGCTATTTTAAGATGGTGCCGCATAAAGACAATTTGAAGCAATAGTTAGAAAAATATACCTAGTCAACTAATGTACGATCCCACTTTTCTTTGTGTGTTCAGTTGAAGACACATTAAGATCGCCCGGTTACGCTGTTAGGGTGTCTCAAGACCATCAGCTTAGGTATGAAAAAAAACAAGAAAATGGTAGCCATAGATAATTAAAGATAGCTGGCAGTGAAGGTAGTAAACATTATGCTTCTACTTTCTACTATCGAAAATACAGGAAATTTTACAAAAACAGTCCCTATCGTAGATTATACACATTATTAAAATAAAATACAGTTTCTACTATTTTCTACTGTACATAGTCTTTCCATGACACATAAATTGTTGTTGGCTTATATATAATTATATATTACACTTAGGTGGTTAGTCTTGCCTGCAAAGAAGAAACTTATGGGTTTATTTTCTGTTGAAATGGCTTAATTTTCAATCAAGCCAGTACATTAGTATTCTCGTGATAAGCTTAACTATCTACAATATTAACTAAATTAACAGGATAGACTGATCAAAATGTGGCGATCAACACTAACACTATTAAGAAAAATTGTGGTTCCGTCGCTGAAAGAGAATTTGCAGCAATCCAAAACATTATTTTCCACTAAGTCACGGCCTAGATCGACGGTGAGGTTAACACTCATCAGTGCCGGGATAGGAGTTCTTGTTGGAGCTGGCTATGGAGGTTATACACATTACAAAATAAACGCGAAAAAACGTACACTTCCTCAAGAAAACGAAGAATATGCATTTTTAAAGCAAGCACCCAAGTACACACCGCAGTATTGTGTAAGAGGAAAATTACTTATTCTAATAATAGTTTTTAAGTTACATAAAATAAAAGTACCTACAAATGAGAAAAAAAAAATAGCCATTTTCAATATAATTATTTATTTTCAATCTAGGAAAAAAATGTTCTTGGTTACCTAAAAGAGTATGGCCCTGTGGAGTCGAGTAGAGAATAGTAATGTACATCTTTTTATTAGTGTAAGAGATTTAGCTAGAATATTACTTTCTAACATACAAACATTTTTAAACAGACATAATTTGATTGTGAAAATTTATACTACACAACAGAATGCTTATAATTAATACAGTGCCTATGTATTTTGTAATTTTGAGAAAATTTGAGTATAATAATATTATTTAAAACATTTCATTTCAAATCAAAATTTTAATACTGTTATAACAGTGGAAATTGAAGTTGCTCATAAAAAAATATTAAAAAATGTATTTTTATGATTATTGAACATCACTTTAATTTGTTAATAAAATGTTTGTGTGATAGTGAATTAGTCTAGCTTCAAACAATTACATAATATTATATGAAAAATTCATCACACATTGGCTCCCATTGCTTCCAGTATGCCAATCAGGAGCCATCCTGTTAATAAAATCATTGAACTTCAATTTACATAGGAACATCTTAGAATTTTTCAGCTCAAGTCACAATTACAAATTAATAGTTACATAATAAAAATGCTCCTTATTATATTCCAACATGTGGCCTTCCCCTCAGTGCATAATATATATTTATTTATTTATTTGTTTGTATTAATAATGACACTATTGCTTAATGATGTCCAAGAAAAATGCTTAAACTTATATGAATTTGTTATTTGTGAGGATAATTGATTGAATTTTTGATTAAAATATTTGAATGTTATGTAACAATGTTAATTACATTAAATAACAGTTGAATAAGTTATTGCAATAAAAGTTGTATAGCTCAGAAATAAATTATTTCCTTGTTCACATTGTATTACATAAATATTAAATATATCTTTTAAACTTTGCAGGTTATAAATGATTCAGATACTAGTAATCTTAGCTTAGTTCTGTTCCAATACAGAACCTGTCCATTTTGCTGTAAAGTCCGTGCCTATCTTGATGCCCGTGGTATCAGTTATGAGGTAGTTGAAGTTGATGCTGTACTTCGTCAAGCAATCAAGTGGTCTGGTTATAAAAAAGTGCCTATTGTCCTCGCTAAAGTGGATGGAGGGTACCAGGTATATAAAACATGATGTAAAATGATGTTGCCAAAATCAATCAAATATGAGTTACTAATTATGATTTTAATCTTTCAGCAATTACTTGATAGTACAGCAATAATATCTATCCTTGAAACATATTTATTAGACAAAAAATCTCAATTAACTGAAATCATAAAATTTTATCCTGTATCTCAATTTGTTAATGATGCAGGGAAGAACATAACAGAAATTACCAATAAATATTTCATAATGCATAATTCTCCATTAAGTAATGACAACGAGAAGTCTGCAGAATTGTGAGTCAGTGTTTTTATTTTATTGTAATGAAATAATCTTGCTGGATTTGGAAAAAAGAAACATGGTTTCAAACAACAATAAGAGTTTCAACAGTCAAATGATAAATTTGATAGTTGCTAGTAAAATATCCAATGAATTTGAAGCTGCGATTAGAAGATGCCATTTTTTACATATTCAGTGCAACAAGCCCTATGATATACATACATATATGTGAAATATGCATGTTAATTTCATTGCAATTTCTTAAGTCATATTTAAAAAAATGCACAAACACTGTTTAAAGTTGCCTGTAAATCATTTGTCTAGTATGAAGTTTAATGGCACATATCAAGTTGCATAATTTCACATTGTTATAGGTAGAGTATCTTGTCTGTCTCTACTGACCTTATCTGATATATTCTCTTGATCAAAGAGCACATTAAAATTATTCACTTTCTATGAAGTTTTATCACCATTACAGGATATTTGTAGAATGTGCTGTAAGCATGTAAATTGGTGTGCACTCAAGAATTAATTTACACGAATAAAAAAATGGGAATGGTCAAATAAAATATCACAGATAATTGTGATCGTTTTTTATTTATTTATTGCTTAGATGGGTGGACGAGCTCACAGCCCACCTGGTGTTAAGTGGTTACTGGAGCCCATAGACATTTACAATGCAAATGTACCACCCACCTTGAGATATAAGTTCTAAGGTCTCAGTATAGTTACAACGGCTGCCCCACCCTTCAAGCAGAAAAGCATTACTGCTTCACGGCAGAAATAGGCGGGGTGGTGGTACCTACCTGTGCGGACTCACATGAGGTCCTACCACCAGTAGATAGATAGTTTATTAGTTTGGATTTAGCTCAATGTCCTTAGTTTTTAACACTGCAAATATGGATAAAACCAACTATAACAATTACCTACTTTAAGAAAATTATGTATAGAAAATATTTTTTGTACTAAACACAGTATAAATTTTATCTGATATAGTTTTAAGACAGGATATAATATGGGTATTAGTACTTACTATTTGCCTTCACTAGCTTTTGAAACTATTTTGTGTCCTTGGCATAACGTTAATTATTTTTGAATTGAATTTTATTTGACTCGTAATGTTTGGGGAATATGTTTGCTTCAGATGTTTGCCTAGTTTTACTTCAGGTGACCTAGTAACTTCAGTGGCTTTTATATCTTGCATTTTCAACTATTAATATTATTTCGCACAATAAACAAGACAGCCAAGCCATAAAAATGGAAAAACCTACATTTCTTAAAATTCTAATATAAGAAATAAATTTATAACATGAAAACTTTATATAACAGTTTATTTTTTCATCTGCTCTAAAAAAGAAAAAGAAAATTGGAGCTGAAATCAAACCCTTAAAGTTATTAAATTTATTACATTATGCAATTTACATGATGTAAAAGCTTGTTGCAAGATTTACTTATTTCAACTTGAAGCTTTTTTGTGCCTAGTGCGAAACACTTCCAGATTATAATAATTTGGAGCTTTCCTTCTATTTTTTCCCATACGTGAGCAAATACAGTTATGATATTTTCACTACAACAATTGCACATATTTTTGATACTGTAGTGTGAATTTTTCATATTGGCACTGTAAAAAATGGCACATCTATCTATAGGGAGCTTTACTAGTTGAAATTTCATTATCATTTGCAAACAATTTTTTGTAATTCTAGTAATCGTAAACTTATCAACAATGATTTTTTTGCCTTGCCTATAGTACTAGCTAAAAATAGTCAAACAATATAACTAAATAAAACATTGGATGTTAATAATAATTACAGAGAAGAACGGAAATGGCGCCAATGGGCTGACACTGTTCTGGTGCACACATTATCACCAAATGTTTATCGGACACCGGGTGAAGCTTTAGAAACATTCAAATGGTTTGAACAAGCGGGGCGCTGGAAAGAATCGTTCCCGGGCTGGGAATGTGCACTCATGGTTTATGTCGGAGCTGCAGCTATGTGGATGATTGCCAAACGACTTAAGAAAAGGTAAATTAATATGTAAATAATAATACCCTTTAGAGCAAAAACAACATTCCATTTCATAATGGTTGTAGTTCAATTTCGATATTTTTTTGTATTGCTCAGATGGGTCAACGAGCTCACGGGCCCCCTAGTGTTAAGTTGCCATAGCTCAAAGACATTATAGCGTGAATGCCGCGCCCCGTTTTTAGACTTCTGGTCTACTTATATAATACTTATTTTAGTAACAATCACACCACATGAACAGGTCCCGTGCTAACTTCGTAAAGAACTTGTGTTACAGGTACCAGATAATGGAAATAAATGTAAATTTTTTATTATACACATATATACGATACATAAAATATATTTTATATTTATCATACAAATATCTTCGAAGCCTTCAAGAAGAATTCTTTGAAGCCTTGATTGTTTTAATTTCAGACACAATATTAGTGATGATGTCCGTCAGTCTCTTTATGATGCAGCAAATGAATGGACTATCGCAGTAAACAAAAAAGGAAAACGATTTTTTGGCGGGGATGCCCCTAATTTAGCAGATATCACTGTGTACGGAGTGTTAAGTAGCATTGAAGGTTGCATGGCATTCAAAGATTTAAGAAACAATACTCAAATCGCGAAGTGGTATGATGATGTTAAAAACGCAATAGAGAGCAGGATGGGTAAAGTAGAAATGGCTCACGCATAATCCATTTCATTGATATTCATGTGCCTTATACTTTTTATTAAATATTTACACACAGGGTGGGAATAATGGTATTGCCCTCGGGGGTGGTAACGCTTACTCGTGCTCTTTTAGAAACGATCAGAAGCACTGTTGAAACTAAAATGCATAAAATTATGATATCGAAAATAAACGTCTTTTGTGTGTGACTAGTTTGGCATGGTACCCTTTAAGGTGATAACGTCGGTCCCACTCTGTCGAATTCGTTGTGTTATTTAATATTCTACAGTATTGTTGCTTCACTAAGATTACGAGATACTGTTATGTCAAAAGTTATTCATTTTCATTTATAGTTAGATTCATTAAATGCGAATAGATTGTAATAAAATGTACGAGCTCATAAAAAAAATCTGTTTACCACCATTGGTTACTCGACTTTTTAGTCTATCTTGTAATCTTTTATAATGATGATCTTCACTAAAGTGGCGGGAACTTGTTGGGACATCAATAAGCTTAGAACCACAGAAGTCATGTTCAGTCATTTAGTTCTTTTTCTTCACACTTGGTAGTTTCTGATTATTGTGGTTAATAATCTATAACTATTATATCACTTTTGTCGAAGAAGCATTAAATTAAAAATAAAACAGTACAAAATCATTCACCACGTTTCTTTTCACATTTGTAATTCATTAAAATTGTATAATTTCAATAAAAAAACAAAAAATAGATATATATATTTCTGTGTTAAGTTAAGCTTAAAGAGTTCGAAGGCAAGTTCTAGAAATATTTTAGCAGTCGATTAGTAGTCAATAAACATAAATATATATCAGTATGTATGTTAAGTTGTTATGATTCTAAGTTAATTTTGTTGTATGTATGTAGTTTATGAAATATGAATTCTATTACACTCGAGATCTCGTTTCGCATTGGCCAAGGATATTGTGCGAAATGAACGATAGGTAATCGTTTTTTGTAGCATGCAACATTACAGTGAACATTAGTTTCAAAAAAATGGTCATTGTGTAAGAGATTGTTGAGAGAAAAGCTCAACTACACGGAAGTATTAAACTAATGTGATGTTATTTCTTGAAATTAAAGGCATTAATTGTTGTTAAATGTTTTTTTATTTTCTAAATAAATATATCTACCGGAGGCATGTGTCGCATACTAACTCATAATTATACACTAAACCATTTAAATTTCGAAAAGTAAACGATAATTAATATGAAATAAAAATTAAAGTTTGCCTTTCAAAAAATCGTGTACCCTTAGTAACTATCAAGAACAGTTATATACTAAACAAACGTTTTGATACTATGAATATTATTATATCCAATTATATAATTCCGTATCTTAAAACGTTATAGTTCAAATAATGCTCAATTTTTTTTTAAGTGGCTTAAGCAGTTTTTTTTTTTTTAGTTTATGGCCTGGTATCTAGTAGACCTTTAGGCCAGCTGTTAATTTTTCGTTAAATTTAGGTACAGACTAATTACAAAGTTTTTTTTATTTTTGTTATTGTTAATCTCAGCACGCGATTTGGGTGTACGTCAGAGAGAAACCACGATTGGCCACGTCCGGAGGGGTGGTTGCGGTGGCACCTTCATTGCCGTCTGTCACCACGTACAGAACAAAAGGCTTGGCTCCAGCTGTGGAATGAAAATCTCTTAGAAACATGAACTACGTTTTTTCTGTTTGTGGATGTTGATTAAGAAACTGTATTCAAGGCCCTCGCTTCTGTAGATAGAGATGGAGTCTGTTAATCTCGAGCTTCGATCAACAATAGCGACGATATAATAATATAATAGGTATCTATACTAATATTATAAAGAGGAAAGATTTGTTTGTTTGTTTGTTTCGAATAGGCTTCGAAACTACTGGACCGATTTGAAAAATTCTTTTTCCATTAGAAGCCGACATTGTCCCTGATGAACATAGGCTACTTTTTTTTAAAAAAAAAAAATTTTATTTTTTTGGTTTCATGTGTGTTTTAATGTTTCCGAAGCGAAGCGAGGGCGCACAGTGGGTCGATACTATGATTTTAGTGACTTAGGGACCAACTTTGTTTTTTAAGATTTTTCTTTATGTGGATAGATAGAGCTCGTTAATCTCAATAATAATTGTTCTTGGCAAAAATTACAAAAACTTTATAGTTTGGTCAGAAAAATGTGTTTTGTGATTTTTTTGTATGGAGCGGGTCACATTAAATTAAATTCCTGCTAAGTACCGTGAGGTCCCGCTTTGAAACTATATTTTTCTTACACCTTGCCTAGTCTACTATCATTTTATGCTATGAACATGTGCATAAAGTTGCAACTCTGCCAAATAAATGGATCGAAAAAATGAATCAATACATAGAATAAAAACCTTTATTATTTATTTTCGTAAGTGCTTTTAAATTAAATTTGATATGGATTAGTAAGTAAAAGTACGTAATAATACCCATAATTACATAATACCTAACAACAATACATTTAGTAAGTCTCTAATCAATCAATCTCTCTAATTATTAGGATAGTTAACATTAGTTAATGAGGATAATTAGTTAAGCAGCTATTACTGGGTAGTAGAAAATATAGTAAACATTTGCTTGTCTCTGGAAGTATAAATAAAGTGACCATATTTATTATATACTAACTAGTGTTCGTTTAATCGTACTACTACTAACATCTCGTGATTGTAGTCGTGATCTTCCTTTTTCCGTTATAGTGGATAATTTTGTTATCAATTTATTATTATTTATGATTTTAAAAGAGCAACTACAGTCGCTGTCTGATAATAAAAAACTCATTCAATTCCTACAAAATCAAATGAACGTGACTGAAGAGAAAAGTGTTGAGCTCCAAAAATTCTGTACGCACTTTTGTTCAAATATAAGTGCAATATGGAAACGAAGTATCGCATGTTAGCACAGTTTATAAGAAAAAATTGTGATTGGTTAGAATGTGCAATAAACTGGCCCGAAGGAATGATACCTGAAGCTATCAACACTGCACAGGAAAGGCTCGAGCTTTCGAATACTGAAGATGTTGAAAATGTACCACCCTCAAATGTACTACAGAAGCCTCGACATCTACTTTTACACCTCGAAAACCTTTTGAAGAATTGGGATCCAGGCAAAAACGAAGACGCATTGAACAAATTTACCAATCGCTTTCGTTATCCCCGGATGAAATGAAAGCTACTACAATTGCTAGTTTGAGAAACACTGGAAATGAAGATGTAGGAGAAATAATGAACCATTTGACAAATCACCCAGAAGATCTAGAAAAAGTTAAGGAGTGTTTAAGTACAAGTAAAGAGAAAAGTAGTACACATTCTCCCGATAAGGCACTATTAGTTTCACTTAAATTAAGTAAGTGGCAGTATATAAAGCTAAGAGAAGCAGCAAGTGAAAATAGGTTTGATTTATACCCTTCTTATTATAAAATTAAGCAAGAAAAGAACAAATGTTATCTAGGGAAAGACGAGATAATTATTAGTGAAGAAGGAGCTGCTATTAAAATGCAAGCATTACTAAGCTTGGCCGTATATAGGCTTTTAGATGTGATTACTTCGGATTTGGACTCGGCAAGAGAGCTACTGCTTCTAAGCAAATAGGCTTTGATAGAGCCCCAGGTCAAAGTAATTATAAACAAAAGACTGAAACAGAGTTTGATAATTCATCTATTTTCTTGACCAGTCTAGTTCCTATAAGGCTTCAGAAATTTGATGGAACAGTTGCTTGGTAAAACGACCAACCCTCATCAACTTTTTATTGCCGTCCAATAATGTTTAAATTTACAAAAAAAAACGCAGTCAACAGTGGCAATTATAAAAGCTAGTATAACAGAAGAAATATAAAGACTTCAGTCATCAAAAAACAAACAAGTTGAAGTTAAGCATCACTTGCACATGACGTTGATAGACGGCAAAATAACCTCATATTTGTCAGAAACATTTTTTGCTGCCTGTGATATTTGCAAAGCATAACCGTCAAGGTTTTTTGGAATCACTTGCATATCAAAGAGAAAATAATGAAGAAATATTCCAGTATGGAATGCCACCTTTACATGCTTGGATAAGATGCATGGACTGCTTACTTCATATTGGTAAATATAATTTTATTACATCACAATTTTTTCATCGTATATAGTTTCCTGTGAGATTATTTTTTAAATGACATTTTTTTTGTTTGCATCTTATCATTTGGACTTCAATAAATAGTGCATTGCAATGGTGCATGGAAGGAATGCGGTTGGTGGAATGGTGCAGGTGGAATGCGGTTTACTTATAGATGTTGTCAAGCAAGACGTAGGAACAACCAATGATGGCAATACTGCCAGAGGATTTTTCAGGGATGCAGAAGGAACAGCCCGCATAACAGGAATACATAAAGATTGAATAGAGAGGTTTCACGTGATTCTTCAGACTGTTGCATCTGGAGAGCGCGTGGACCTTTCCAATTTTTCCGAATTTTGTAGATATGCTGCAGAATTGTATGTTAATTTATATCCCTGGTATTATATGCCTTCCAGTATCCATAAATTGGCACATGGCAGTGATATACAATAATTAAGAACTTTGGTGCCATTCCTATAGGTAAACTGTCGGAAGAAGCAGCGGAAGCTCGCAATAAAGATTTTCGGAAATATACAGAGAGTTGTTATTCTAGAAAGATAAGTAGAACGTCGAATAATTAGGATATTTTAAACAATCTTCTTTGGTCTTCTGATCCAAAGATCGAATAGTGAAACAAAATACATAATACTTAGAGAGATTGATTAATTAGAGACATACTAAATGTATTGTTGTTAGTTATTATGTAATTATGTGTATTATTACGTGCTTTTACTTAGTAATCCATATCAAATTTAACTTAAAAGCACTTACGAAAATAAAAAATAAAGGTTTTTATTCTATGTATTTATTCATTTTTTCGATCCATTTATTTGGCAGAGTTGCAACTTTATGCAGATGTTCATAGCATCAAATGATAGTAGACTAGGCAAGGTGTAAGAAAAATATAGTTTCAAAGCGGGACCTCACGGTACTTAGCAGGAATTTAATTTAATGTGACCCGCTCCATACAAAAAATTCACAAAACACATTTTTCTGACCAAACTATAAAGTTTTTGTAATTTTTGTCAAGAACAATTATTATTGAGATTAACGAGCTCTATCTATCCACATAAAAAATTTTCTTAAAAAACAAAGTTGGTCCCTAAGTCACTAAAATCATAGTATCGACCCACTGTGGGGCGGGTCGCTAGTAATTTATAAAATTGGTGCGTGAACAGGTTCACCACAAGATCATGATTTTATTTTTCTTTCGAATTTAAGTATATTTATTTATTAGGCACATAATACGCATTATAAGCTAGAAAAGAAAAGATACACAATGAATAACAACAAGTAAATAAAATTGGATTTTAATATAAGCCATGCCCGCACAACTAATCAAGACAAATGTGCTAAGTACACAATGTTCATTACAACTTTACCATAGGACAAGACAGCACGATAACGATAACCAATTCAACTTTTAATGTAAGGATGTAACAATAAATTACAATCACAAAGGAAATCACATTAAACATTAAACAATTACACTACCTAATCTACTATTAACATAGAGGATGCCCTTGATCATTTTTATAAACATCGCTAATTTATATGTAAAAATATTCAATTCAGTTGACGACTTTGCTAGTTCGTTATAGGTGCGAGACATTCGGGTAATTGGATTATAATAAGATATGTTGTTTTTGTAACTTTTTTTTATATCTGAATATAGATGATATCTGTGCCTATGCATTTTAAGTTGTGTTTTGTGATCACTTTAATCGAAATCAAGGTCAGAATCAGCGAATACCATTATGTTTTGAGTACTTCCGAGTAATACCTACTACATGTAACGTAAAGACTGTTTCTAAATCTTAGTGGCCTCATTAGCTAGTAGTCAAGTAGAAAGCAACTGTAAAATTAAAAAACTCAACAAAATGAAGCTAGGTACTTACTTTGAACCGGGACAAATCCAAGACCGCAAAAGCGGTCAGTGCCGACTGGTACTGCAGTGGCGGCAACAACAGGGTTTGGTATCACGACGAAATCCGTAACACAAGCGCCGTCGTTGACTGCCCCCACCGCTGTGCCCAGTACTGTATTGTCGGCACCCTCTACGTCGCCTGTTACCGTGAACGAGAACACATCGTTCGCTGTCTGAACATAATTAACATTCGGATTACTTTCAGTAGATACCGGGATAATTAAACAAATTGCCAATTGCAAACAAAAGCCTATCGATAGATAACGAATGCATATCTTTTGACTTGAGCCATGGAAGTGATTCATTGGTAGTTGGGCGTATTGTGAGCCCCCACGGGTATGTACCGTCACGCAATACAGTTGGGCGTACCGTGTTAAAGATTAAATTGAATTCGCGTATCTCAGAGTGGCATTCATATTCATCATCAACAGCCCAGGGACGTTCACTGCTGAACTCAGGCCTCGCCATTACGGCCATGATCTCCATTACGGCCGATTCAGTGCTGTTCGCATTCAGCGAAGTCCTAGGACCTTCAGCAGGTCGTGGGAGGTCTACACACTGCGTTTTACAGTATGGGGTCGCTACTCGAGAATTTTTTGGCCTCAGCTGCTATCTGTTTTATGAGCAAAGAGTTTTTCCCACTGCCACTTTAATCGCACCATCCTTCGGGCTATGTCGGTTACCATGGTTCTCCTGCGAACACTCCTCATTCATAATTCGATCTCGCAGGTAAACTCCTAATATGGCACTTTTGGTGACTGAGTTTTCGGATAATCATTCATACCATTATAGAACAAAATAATGTTTGTTCTGTTATAGCTTACCTGAGCGTATTGTATAGCACAATATCCAGCCTCCATTCGAATACAAATACCGTAATTCAAATTCGCAATCTGTCTAGTGCCTGTGACCAAGGAGGCACTGAGAAGAGTATTAGCTCCTGTACCGTAATTGAAACTATTTATGGTGTCCGTAATTCCTGTGTAATACTGCAGGCAACCATTAGGAGCTGTAAAATAAATTATACTAAAATTAGGCAGACATTTCCTTTTTAAGTTAATAACAATCTTATAAAGGCCGTCTTGAACAACTCTTCAAACGACCTCTTGAAGCATGCGATGCATAATACACTGTGTTTGTAATAGGAGTGGGTAATATCGGTTTTGCCGCGTATCGAATCGTATCTATATATCGAGGATCAATATCGGATATTGAATCTATATATTTTCTGAATCTATATATTGATGGATGCTAGTAGATTTTCTCGATTCATGATATTTGAGATTTGAAACGATACGCTGATATAATATCGTAGTAGATATAGATTTAAGTCAACGTTATACGGTTGGTTTTCTGATATCAATTTATAATATGATCTTAAAGTAATAAAAAGAACATGAAAATAAAAATATCAAAAAAACTTTCCTTCATGCTTTTACCAGGCTTAGGACTGGCTACATTATTTTCAGTTTTTAGTATTTTGTGTCTTAATTTAAAATTACAAAATATACCAAAAGAGTGTAGATTTCAAAAGTTTAATACAAACACAAGAAATAAACTCAATTATTTGGATTCAACTAAAAATAGAAAAATGTGTACTTTAAAAATCAAACACAAAAAACTTTTAAGTATTTATAAACACTTGTCCAAAAATTCTAGTTCAAGGTCAAAGCGCGTGAAATTAAATTCAACGATGCAAATAGGCTATACTGCATTCAAGTTAGGGTCGAAAGTTGAAACTTCTTTCCTTAATTGTATCCTGCTGATACGCTAAGAATAATCTACAGACATATGGACTTAAATATAAGGTTTACAATTGTATGGATAATGCCTGTTTCTGTTTCATTCATCACATGATATCCCTATCGTGCGCTCACTCACTCTGGCCGATTCGATACGAACCAAACGAATATTGCTGATATTCACGAATCGGTACGATATGCCGATGCGCATCACATCGAGCAATATCGTGTATCGGCTGATATCGAAATATAGATTTCGATTCACGAATCGGTACGATATGGCGATGCGCATCACATCGAGCAATATCGTGTATCGGCTGATATCGATATATAGATTTCGTGCGGGGCGATATCGGATTCAACGATATTGCTGCGATATATAGATATTGAATCTATATACGATTTATATCACCCACTCCTAGTTTGTAACGAATGTTTCTCTGTAAGCTTAAAGGTACTAAAGGATCGGACATAGATGTAGATGTGCCGGCCCTTTTCTGATAATGTAAGACTTTAGTTGTATCTATTTTTGTTTATCAGAAACAAACAAATGAAAATAGAGTATTTATGACTAGCCTATAACAGTTTACCTAAGCCAGGACAATCACATCCCAATTGAGTAAGTCTCATATTCCATCTCCTTGCAAAAGTGGTAGCTAGAGTTGCTGTCACAGCAATTGTAATCGCTGCATTTCCGTTAAAATCTACGAAAATCGTTTGTCCTGTGAGGTCGCCGCACAACGGTGGAACTATCGTGTTTCCACCAGTAATAGTGATAGAATCTGTGACACAGACACCATCACCATCAGGCTGTGCTATCACGAAATCCAGAAAATCTATACGAAGCTGCAAAACAAATATGAATTTAAATATATGTATATCCTAAACCATATTAATGGATCTTAGTTCGCGGTACTGATGCTAGTCTAGATTTTATTCTGGTGCGGTAGGGTACAGCCATCCTTCTAATTTTATCAGCGATGTCCTGATGCTTTTTGAGTTGATGAGTAGGGTAACCACGAACTCAATACAATTGAGAAATCGACCTCATTTCTCAAGTGTGGTAGCAGCATTCAGGCTGTGTTTATGAGCTCTGATCACCACAACAATAGGTAGTCCGAGCAGCACTCACTAGCCCATTTACAAACTATAAAAAATGAATAAGGTTTTTGTAATTTGTTATATTACTTGGCAGATGTTGTTGTTGCATCTGTTAACAATAAGTGTACATGCTTGTCCACCAGCATACGCTGCCGGATAACCGGGGCTTGTGAAGTATGTATTGTTTACGTTCGTTGTAGAGCCACACGTTCGGGAAACTGCAAAACAGCATTATCAGATAAAATTACAATTTAAATGCATTTTAACACATAAGTTGGAAGAGATGAAAAACAATCATGAGCTGTAACAAAATTTTATGAGGTCAAATAAAAACTACAATTTTTAACCTACATTTTATTTCATGAATAGCTTGTTACAGCCATGATTGCTTGTAGTCAAAAAAGTATTTGTAATATTAAAAAAAGTCAATCAAAACAAAGTCAGGTGGTTGCGAAAATATTCATATTTTATGGTCTTAAACGAAAATTTTCCCGATAAGCAGATTTAGCAAGTACCTAATTGTATTATATGCTTAAAATATAATTTAAAATTATGTAAAAAAACATCGAATAATCGGTGGAAATTACCAACACAACATCTTCCTCTCCTAGAAGCACAAGTTCCCGTGATGGTTCCATTAAGGTTGTTGCATTCTCGTCGCGCCAAACATATACCATTCATTGTATTGGTTGACGCACAGTCCGTGTTCGCGAAACGGACGATACTTACAAATGGAAATACTGAAATGCATTTCAATAGTATTATTTATATAACATACATTGCGTCTTGCCATAAAAAAGTTCTGGATAATTCCTAATCCTTATGGCATGGTAATTTATTTAAAATAATATGGCAGACAGATGTCAGGTTCGGATTAAGTATTAGCTTTAGTAAACTATTGAGGGAGATGAATTCTTTTTACGAATTAAAAGCATTTGCTCTTGAGGTGTAAATGGCATTATCAAATACAACCTTGTTTTTTCTCCCTACCTAAGCTGTTAACCTTGAGAGGCTATTTCAGATTCGCAGATTCAAACCGGAGTGTTGCTAACACTAGTCCTAGCAAGAGCAGTGCTTCGCAGAATCTACCACCGGATCGGAAACGCGACCCACTGAAAAGATTCGGCGAGAAACTCAGTGGGCTGCGTCTATAGGTTAATTTACTCGTCGAGCCCTTCGTCACAAGCGACGGGTTCGGCGAGGACGGTGACCGGTGCTTGACGTATCTAAAAGCACCGTTAATGGATCGGGAGGATCCGTAATGACGTTTAGGGCGACGTCGATTATTTAACATTCGGCCCACCGTATCGCGTGTGAAAATTAATTTGCGCTGCAAAACACCTAAACGATTTTATTCTTAATGTACAATAACGGCACTGACTTCTACCTTTCAAGCTGGTTTAACATCGGCCTTGAGATCAAAGTAGACCACATTTACCACTTTAAATCAGAGGGCACATTGAAATTGTATTTTTTTCCCTTAATATTGCTCTATTTAATCGCAATAGCTTGATTTATCGCATTGCTGTGCACAATTCTAAATAAAAAAATGTGTACTTACATATTCTTCCTTCTCTTTCTTCGTGATGGTCCAGATCATTGTCAAATTCATCTGCTACTGAATCGTGCGTGTTATATATCGTATTTGCCGTAACAGCTACGAAAACTGTTATTATAATCAAATAAGATTTTCGCATCATTGTATTAGTGTTTTACTAAAAACGTTTATCGAAATTGGGTCAAATATTTTCCACTAGACCGGAAGATGGTACGTTTGACGACAAAATGAGAGTACAGTAGCGTATCTGGTATAAATAAAGTCGGTAACGGTCACATATTTGTGTAAGCTGTTTAGGTTGTTACCGTTTTTCGTTTAGCACTTGACGGCGACCTGACCGCTAAAAGTCCACTACTAGGTCACGCCCAGTTCTATTATTGCATATTATTTTCTATTTGAAAGACCTTTAAACGTTATTATACTTTACCCAGACTTTATCCAGACAAAATCTTAAGTTGTCACCCTCAATCATGGTCCTGAGCAAGTCGAGCCTTTACATGGGGCATACAGAGTGTAATTTAGAGAACGAAGATAATTATTGGAACTGGCATTTTCCAGCACTATAGTACTGAAAGATGCTACTAATATTCTTTTATAATAAGATAAGGATAAAAATCTATTTTTGTGTATTATAATTATAAATAATAAGGAACAGATTGATATGAAAGTTTGTTAATCAATCACGCAAAAATGGCGGAAAAGAACTTCAGACCGCAGCTACCACCATGGGACAGTGGTTCCGGAAGTGGCGCATCGACATTAACCCCACGAAAAGCACAGCGGTGCTCTTCAAAAGGGGTCGCCCTCCGAACACCACGCTGAGCATCCCTCTCCCGACTAGGCGCGTCAATAACCCCGCCCCCGCCGTTCGCCCAATCACGATGTTCGACCAGCCCATACCGTGGGCCCCGAAGGTCAAATATTTAGGCGTCACCCTCGACAGTAGGATGACATTCCGCCCCCACATCAAGACGGTACGCGACCGTGCCGCCTTCATTCTAGGACGTCTCTACCCGATGATATGTAGGCGAAGTAAAATGTCCCTTAGAAATAAGGTGACACTCTACAAAACTTGCATACGCCCCGTCATGACCTATGCAAGTGTAGTGTTCGCTCACGCGGCCCGCATACACTTAAAATCCTTTCAAATTATTCAATCCCGTTTTTGCAGGATAGCCGTCGGAGCCCCGTGGTTCGTCAGGAACGTCGACCTCCATGACGACCTGGACTTAGAGTCCATCAGTAAGTATCTTCAGTCGGCGTCCATGCGCCACTTCGATAAAGCGGCACGACACGAGAACCCTCTCATCGTGGCCGCCGGTAACTACATTCCCGATCCTGCGGACAGAATGGAAAGCAGTCGACGTCGCCCAAAACACGTCATCTCGGATCCTCCCGATCCACTAACGGTGCTTTTAGGTACTTCAAGCACCGGTCACCGTTCTCGTCGAACCCGTCGCTTGCGACGAAGGGCTCGACGAGTAAATTAACTCAGATCTCAGACACAGCCCACTGAGTTTCTCGCCGGATCTTCGCAGTGGGTCGCGTTTCCGATCCGGTGGTAGATTCTGCGAAGCACGACTCTTGCTAGGGTTCGTGTTAGCAACATCGTCAGGTTTGAGCCCCGTGAGCTCACCTACTAAAGTTAAGGCTACGCTGAAATAGCCGCTAGGGCTATCAGCTTAGGTAGGGGACAGGCGGAAAAGATTTGAATGAAATTTCTCATAAAAATAGTGTATATATAATCTGGATTGATACTTTTTATAATTGTTAGCGAATGTAGGATTACACAAACAAACAAACTACGGGTAGTTTATCGATCAGAGAGCATAACTCTATATCTTAGGAAAATCCAAAATTCTTAATTCTTTCTGTATGAAACATTTAAATATATAATGTATAAAACCGCGGGGGATGAGCGTTTTCATGGGAATATGGATGGCGATTGCCACCTACCTTGGCGTTATATTGGGAATTACAAAAATATATATTTACGCTTAGCGCAGTAAATGAACAATCTTTTCCATTCACGTTAGGGTACTAGTTTATTCTTAATATCTTGTATGTATTTCTGTGTATATATTTGTACAAAATTTTAATTAAGGTCAGAGAAAATCTTTTTCTATTGAAATTGAAATTATAGGTTGTTCTACTTATGGTCTCAGATATATATTAGAAAGTTCTTGACAAATGAACCGTCGAAGCGTTCAGTCTACTCGATTACTACAGTTTTTGTCGGTTTCTACCGAGAGACTGAGTTTATCGCCGGATCAATGATTGAGGGATTACCGGGGGCTAAGCTAACCCTGGAGGAGTGGGATTTGCTAAAATTTGCTGCCCTAACACCTTCAAAGGAGACCTAACAACTTAAGAGCAGCTGCTTCACGAATGAATCTACAACCGGATCGGAATCGCGACCCGCTGAGAAGATCCGGCGAGAAACTCAGTGGACTGATGCATGGACTAAGTTGCACGGCTACCGGGGCCCCTAAGCCTGCTTCTAGTGCTAGAGCTGAAGGTGCCTAATCCAAGACTTATTGGATCTGATGGATCCGTAAGGACGTGTCTAGGACGGCTAACCTGCAAAAGCGGGATTGTAGGGTTTGGAGGGTGTCTGTGCGTGCTCAGGCCGCGTGAGCGAAAGTCATGACGGGTCTTATGCAAGTTTTGTCACCTTGTCACCTTGTCCCGAAGGGACATTTTACTCCACTTACAGATAATGGGGGACTGATTTTATATGTGGGCGGAATGTCATGGATGCATCCAGGGTGGCTCCCAGATACTTGACTTTCCTGGCCCAGGGTATGGGTTGGCCGACGAGGGTGATTGGAAATGTGAGATTCCTCCTCCTAATGCCTAAGGAAATCCGTGTAAAGTTTCCCCTTATTAAATAGCACCGCTGTGCTTTTCGCTGGGTTGATGTCTATGTGCCATTTTCGGAACCATTGTCCGAGGGTTACGGCTGCGCTTTGGAGCTTACTCACGATTAGGGACTTGTTTCTACTCGAGTAGTAAACGGTCGAGTCATTTATCTCGGCTATAAAGCGGGCTAATGTAAGGCCATAATGCAATAGAGCCGCATACGACTGAACCGCACATACTTCTATGATAACAATGCAAAATCAATGCTGGTCTTTTCCTCCCTTGGTCGCCACGTGATTTGGTAACCGTGTCTACTGTTCGTCGAGGTACCTGTTTAAGTACCGTTTGAAGTCAGTATCCGCAAGTTACTTGAGCCTTCCTCGAATACGTTTAGGCAGAGGTTGCATGTGTATGCTGGGAGGTCGTGATGCTGTCCACGTATTCTTCTCTATGATGCACAACATTTGAATTTGAATGATGTTCTTTTACTTTTGATGTGCGGTGTCATTCTAAATTATATTTTCTCATATACAAGTAAACACAATGTTTTCAAGTATTATTTACGTTTTAATTAATTGCTATAGCCGCTAGTCCACCCTTTCAGTGTGAGCGATTGCTACTAAAGTTTGACTCGTGCTGTTAAATATTTATACTGTAAGATGAAAGTGTAGTTTTCTATCTGTATCCCACGAGTGAAGGTATTTTTTTAGACCTAGGCCTTGAAGTTGGTATTTAATAAATTATTTATTGGCTTTAATTTAATACTGTTTAATATTTCAAGTTATTTTTCAGTTCCGGTGCTGAAGCTTTCTTAATTTCAATATCCAGATCCAAACGATTAACATATTCGTACATGATGTAATTAATATATTTATTGGCTATTATTATACTTTAATATTTTCACTTGAATATTAGGTAAATGTTACTGTGTGGAACACTGTGTAACTATAATTAAATTCTCATGGCTCCTTCTTTAAGCCAACCTCATTGTGGGTTCTATTCCATGAAATTCAAGCAAAGCGAAAAAACTTTGGACTGTTATTGTAAGAAAGGCCTAACATAGCACCGATTTAGGCCACCGTAAATATCAAATGCACCATTTTCTTTACTGTGATCGGTGGATGTTGAAAAGGCTATAAAGGTGCTCACTTTTATGTGCTTGTATAAAATTAAAATTATCAATTATAGGGATATAAGAATACACTAATTTCATAAACGTGACTAAATTTAATTTGTTCTTAAATTGTGTAACTTCAATAACATAAGTTGCAATATTAGGTTTATGCATTTGATATAGAACAACGCTCTAATTTGCTACAACCAATTTTTTGATAAGATTGAAATGAAATGAATAATAAAATATGATGGCAAGATGACCTGGTATATAAAATCAAACAAATATTGGTTATAATCTTCAAGAACAACAAAATATCACGTATTGGAATATGTAGCAAATTAGTTTGATGCTTCGTATATATTCGGAATATTGATTTTAAAAAAAAAAAACAATTGGGTACGGAATTTGAAACTGATTCAATACTTTTCTTTGAAACTGTAACGAATTTGCTTATTATTTATATATCCTCATGGGATTTTAATTGTATGTCATGCTACTTTCGAAAGTAGGTATTTTTAATACGCACAGTTTCAAGGAAGAAGGTGAATTTTTTCTCAGGATACTAGAACGAGGGAATGGAAAATTAAATATTATTAACATCAAGTGGCCATTAAATTAAACAAGGTTAGTAATATAAAAATCACACTTCTGAGAACATTTACGAACTAAACACTGAAAACACATTAAGACCATAATTTTCCGTGAACATAAATTATAATTACATTTGTTTTTTTTACATATAAAAGCAATTTAAAACATGTCATTGGTAATAAATTATTTTGTGACTTAGTCAACGTACTTATCTAGGTTATTAAGTAAATTATACGCCTTAAAATTCAAAATGATATAAAAACATAACTTAAATAACAGAAAACAATCAAGTGGCATAAGGATTAAGCAAGAACAAAGAAACAAAGGTATGACCGTGTTTACAAAAGTTCCACTTAAATCTAAAGTTATGTCTCTGTTACTAACAAATACAACATAGTAAGTACATAATATTATGGCAACTGCAGACAGGTTGATGGCAATACGTTTGCTTCTATAGCACAAAGGGCGTAGGTACAATTTTATAACTAAATTCATTGTGTCATCGTGTTATTAAATATAATATAGTGTAAATTTAAGTTATATGTTGATGTGCGCCTAGTTTAAATCTTACATAATTCAAGAGGCACTGGATTAAAATGCTATTTTACAATATTAAATATATCAAGGCAATAAAGAAGGCACAATTTATATGAGTAATACAAGTTAAGGCACCTGTTTTGTAAATTTAATTATTTTAATGGCATCATGGTTTCATATAAAAAAACGAACGTTCCCAAAAGAAAGGTTCGTATTTAATAAACATCAAACCCAGATACGACTAGAAAATATTAATATGACACTATTTATCATTATGTAATTAATTAATTAATTTCTTATAATTCCATATTGTCATGACGATAACATGTCTATTTAAAACAGCTTTAAAAAGCGTACCTTGATTCATAAAGTGTAAATTGTATGGGGAGCGGTTATTGATGAAAAACCTTTTTAATAAATAGAACGTTATGAACCAATATTACCTACGAGTGTGGTTGTACTGTTCCTTACAATTTTTTCTCAAGCATCATATCTAAATTGTGTTATTAGACGAATAAAAAGTAGCAATAGAACAGTCCAAATATCCCCAATTACATTACAATACAACATTCATTCAACTTCATTTCATAATTTTTAATGCACCTGAGTTTTTTTCGTTTCTAAACTTTTCATTTCGTGTTCATCTGTTGGTTTAGCAGCCATTACATTAAAATATAATTTCTAAATAAATGAATATTTCAATTAATAACAGGACAAAACTATTATTTCAAGATACAGAATGAAACCAGTAACGTAATTTAAAAAAAAAAAGAAAAAATTACGAGACCATGACTTTTATTTTACACATCACGGATAACGCTTAATCTTTCGCTTGAATTAATTGACATATAACTAGGTAATTTAATTCATTTCTAAATTTTGATTTATTTTAAAATTGTATTTTACATTACTTTATATAATAATGAAGTACAGAGTTGCATTTTCTTCGGTGCTTGCTAGTCGTAGATATAATTGATACTACTTTTACGTTTTAAAATCGTGTTTTCTATTTTCATTATAATAGTATTTTTAACTTTCCGAATACTTTACAATTTTCGTAGTCACGGACGACCAAGTTGTTATTTGTCGACGTTTGATTTTAATGCTGATATAGTAAATAATGACAATAAAAATGCGTTATTAAACTGTAAAACTAATATTAATTATGAAATACACGATCTTTTCTTGTAATACCAACTGGAGCGCTGTATTATGATTATAATATTAACCTAGTCTCAAAAATTCACTAAACCCACGGCGTGTTATAATTGTTATAATAGTAAAAGAAGAACATTGTATAAGTAACTGTAAAAAATAAATGGTTTTGGCTTTTATGAAGGTACTAATGTATGGTTTTACAAAGGTACACAGTAGTAATTTCCGAAGAACATGTTCGTAATTTTACAAAGATATCACCAGTCTGCATTTTTTTGTCTCCTTATTCTGAAACATTCGTTTTCAAGATTCGAGTTCGTGGTTATATAGTATTAAGATAATTAAAAAAAAAAGATTTTTAAGTATACACGTTTTTACGAATTTTTTATTTATTTATAGATTTTCAAACATGTCTGTGTATTTCTGTTTTTTAAGTTTAGTGCTTATAAACTTTGCTTTGATAATTCTGCATTTAACATTTGCATTTCATCTAGATGTTTTTTCCATGAAATTTGTCGTTAGAATTTTGCAAGGAACCGTCAATTAATTTTCATTATTATTTTTCCTATAAGTTTATGTTACTTTCTCAGAAGCAGTCAGTTTTATTCAGCTATGCTTCGTTCACTAGTAGTCTTAATTTAGGTTCTTAGTAAACTCTCGTAAATATGATACTTGAGCGTAAATGCGAAAGTAAAAGCAAATGCGCAGGAACTTATAAACATATTTACTGTTTTAGTTATATTTTGTTTATAATAAAAAAAGGAACAGGAGTTGATATACAACTCTTTTCTTCGATTTTCATGAGTCGTTGTAATAATAAAAAATACTTTTGCAGTTTAATATCGCGTTATTTACTGTCGATATATTGGTATAGTATCTCCAAAGTTTCGAAAACTCCACAGTTTTAGTGGTCACAGAAGATAGATTGATTAATAGGTAATAGTCTTAGTAGTAGTTTTAAAGGTAGCTTTAATGAATATGTAGGTTACATATATTTTGGAGATATTTTAAAAGGAAACAGCAGTGGAAAAAATAACAAAACACACCAAAGGGAAAAAAGCCATATTTTGATCTACGATATTCGAGTGGATTTTGATTTCATGAATACATCTCATTTTTATTTTCCTGGAGAGCTTCGTGGCAGACTAGTGATACTTTATCTATGTAACCTATTGACATTAATGGCTAATAGCGATGGCAAGCAAAAAGTGTAATTTTAAACTTGAATCCATTTTTATTATTAAAGCCATGTAAGTTTTCAATGTCGTTTATATAAACGGTATTGGAATAATTTCAGAAAATGATGACAGATGCTTGTACTAGCGAACAGCAGTACGGTTACGGTAGTATCAAATCAGATTTGATTTTTTTTAAACGTGACACGCGTTTTCTATGTTTTCGGCGCGTGGAAGCTTGGGATTTAGGACGTTGGCGTGTGACATTCGCCGGGAACGATGTTTTACAGCCTATACAGCGAAGTGTAAGGGAGCTCAAGTTATTTCAATAGCCAAATTATGTTATCACAATCGTTAATTAAAGCTGATCCTTTTTAGGTTTAGTAAATCAATGGGGCAAGTTGATGAACAAAATATTACGTGAAATAGCTAAGGCTGTTTTGTCATGCATCCTTACTCCAGAATACTTTCGTTAAAAAAACGCCTACTTGGCAAATGGTCAGGCAGTTGTCATTCATAAAGGAAGCTATGATTTAATATATCCAACGAATGCCGCTAAGTATTTTTTGGAAACTATACGACCTACCGAATAATCCTGTCAATATTTGATTTAAATTATTTGAAGTAGTAATTTAATTGTCTAAAGAACTCACTAAGGGCAAAAGTCATCCTTAATAGTATTTACAAGCATGCAAATTATTCTCTAATTAATTTCCGAATTAGAAAGTCATAGACATTTTCAAGACCACTATTACTTTTAATAACTCGTTTATTTCATTAATTTCTTAACATCCACAATTCCGATAGCTAAAATGATAATAAACGCAAAAGGTTCTTTATTTATTTTATTCAAGCGAGCAAAATAAATAAGTGATAATGATGATGATTATATATTTTCTTTCAAATGTCCATTAAAGACGAAGCTCCATTGCTATCACCAAAGAGATGAACAAGTGGTACCAACTATTCCTCGATCTTGATAATTCACGTCGTACTAACTCATCATGTTATTATGTTGTGTACTTTTCGTAATATTATGTAAGAGACCGGAACAAAATGAAAATGAACGGGTCTTAAATTATTGTTTTTTGCTGATGTTTCGATTTTTAATCATAGCCGTAACTAAAGCTTTTTCTAATGATGGTACCGATCACTCTAATTACTGCTTCAGTTCGAGATAATTTGGCTTGAGCCCTTCTTAGACCAGGATCTTTAATGACGTTGATGGTTTTCGTCCACCTTCCCAGTCTCATGGCTCAAATGATGTTGGCGGTCAGCGGAAATCTTACAAAGTTGAATTGTCACCACTCAACCACAGACCGATTACGTAACAGTCTCAGTTTCATTCGAATCGTAACGCACATACATTTACCAGGTGGCAGAAGAGATTTTTTTTTTTTTATATACGTAATTTAGCAACACTCATAAAGCCGTTATTAAATTAAGTTATAAACATTTAAACTGCTATAATATTTTACAAAGTATAACTATAAGTACTTAATTTTAGGGCTTACGTACCATTATGGCAATATTAGACAGCTGATAAGTGTTGTGGCTTTTGTTAATTAAAGATGTGATGAAATATATTATATGGTAAAAAAAAAACTATAATAAATTGAGACTAGAAAGTGTAGAAATACGCTAGTCCGAATGAAACGAACTCATCATTGGAAGCAACGTGACACAGTGATAGTAAAATTTATATAACAGAACAAACATTTAAAGTTTTAATTTGCACAGGACTTCCACTCTATCTTATAAATTCTAAGGGTCTCCAAATAAACAGGCAACGGTTGTGATGTTTCCAATGATGAAATAGCAGTCATGACATTCGAAGCCGCGTTTGCACAATAGAACTAAAATCTAACTAATTACTGATATTTTTTTTTTATATTAATATAATAAAGATAATATCTTGGATATTCCTTGCTCTCTTATCATCTTACAATAAATTAACTAATCATATCTAGTGAATACTTGGAGCTGTACGTCGTATGATTAATTTGACGACATCATTGCTACTGCGGTGAGCAAACGATTGTACTTACAACTACTTTAATATTCATTTCAATAAAGATCAACTATATGTTACTGTTCTGTGCTTAGGTTGATCATAATTAGTGTCCTTATTCAGTGTTTTGAGAGAGACGTGTGCACGCCTCTCAAGCAGTTTATCATTTAGCAAATCTATTAAAAAGTCAATATTATTTTGAGAAATTATGGTCTCGAGTACTTTTAGTACTTGTACGCAGTGAACAAGGTATTGGTGAAATACGTTGTTGACGAAATAAACTTAGCAATGATGTCGCAATTTCTCAAAGCAAAACTTTGTCTGGTGTTAACATATTCATATAAATACTTGATCTATCAATTAATTCTGCAATTATGATTACAGTCTAGTCATTAACTATTAAGTAGGTAAATTAATGTAAAGCGATTTCCTTGGTAATGCTGTAATACATTGCAAGTAGTACACTGTCGAGTGACTAAACGGGAAATTAAAAGAGAACGACTCTAAAAAGTTTTCAATTCTGAGAAGTTCACAATTGTCCATTTTAATGAATCACTGCTGTTAGATTCCTGAATTGATTTTCGCTTTAGCAAATTAAAAAAAAAACAAAGTTCTGTCAATGTCGATAGCGGGTGCTCGCCGTTACAGCACTCCGTAGAATGTATCCATCAGGTTCACATCCAGATCGCACTCAAGGAAAATGCTTTCATTGCATTCTTCCTGAAAGTAAACAAAAAATAAGAAAATTACACAATCGAATATGTATAGGTAATTTTACAGAACATTTAGCGTTTGTGTTTTATAATGAACTAGCTGACCCGGCAGACTTCGTAGTGCCTCAATAGATAAATAAAAGACCTAAACTTTTGTATAAAATAAACTTAAAACCAACAAAAGGAATCCGGCCAACGGGGGACACGTCAAAGGAAAAACAAAATTGTTATTTTTATTTAATTCCGAGCATTTTCATATTTATCTACCTTTTAAACTTTCTCTGAACTTCCACAAATAATTCAAGACCAAAATTAGCCAAATCGGTCCAGCCGTTCGCGAGTTTTAGCGAGACTAACGAACAGCAATTCATTTTTATATATATAGATTATAATTTGTAGAGAGTAGTTGAGACTCGGATGCGATCGACAAACGGGTCAGGCTCTCAACAACCTGCTAGCTGAGGATCCTTGGTTACTTCAGTCACATTGGCCGCCGACAGCCGGATAACTTAGACAAAGTGATTGTAACGGGCAAGGTGGAAGGAACAAGACCCCGCAGTCGATCACCTAGCCGTTGGTGTGACCAAATAATTACCATAACTGGTCTGCCAGTTGCAACCGCCCTACGAGAAGCCGAGAACCGGACAAGGTGGATACGGCTTACGAGGTAGGCCACGGTGAAGTTTCAAAAACACGACCTTCAGTAATGAATAAAGCGACGAAATAGATAATTTGTGATTGAAGAAAATATTTCGAAAAGCGAATTATTCGTTTCTAAGTTTATAAATTTATTTGAGCTAATGACGGTACGGTGGTTCGTACCTGAGTGGCAATCGGGGCGGGCGGTTGCTCGCCGCCCTTTCTTGCGTGTCATTTAGAAGTCTTCGGCAGGTGCCGCTTATTGTGTAGAGCGAGGTGGTCGGATCTCGCAAAAGATCTCTCACAGACGGAGCATTTGAAAGGTTTCGCGCCGGTGTGCTTACGGTAGTGTCGTGTTAATTCGTCGGACCGCGCGAACCGCCATTCGCATTCCGGCCACTGACAAGTATACGGCTTTTCTCCTAATAAAAAATATTAATCAAACGTCATTAAAAGATTATCATTCATAATAATTAAAACAAAAATATTTCGCAAATAGCGTAGCACATTTAAACAGCACAATCATCATCACTCGCGATGCCATGTATCGATTTTTTATTTGATCATTAGCATTTATATACTTGTTGTTTAATAAAACGAATGTGATTAAATATTTGCTTACCTGTATGGATCCGTTGGTGAGCTTTAAGATGAGAACTTTTCGTGTAAACTTTCGTGCAACCTACAAAACCAAAATTCGAATGTCAGTGATGTCTAAAACTTAAGAAGAAGTTCTAAATTATGGAGAAATTATCATCCTGGTCCTGATCATTATCATTAGACGATCGCTGTTGGACATACAGCATATCAAACTTTACAGTCTCGAGAGGCTTTCGATAAATTTTTCGTGCTTACTGGCACTAAGAGTCACTTCTTTCTAATTAAATCAAACAGGGATACTCTGAGGACAGATTTTTGTTCTTTCAAGCAACCTTTAGAGTTTTATATAAATGCTACAGTTAGCGGCATTATTAATGATGATGAAACATGAAATAATTAATTGGGAGCAAGAAACTCTTTAGTACATTTTCTAGAATATAGGTAAAAAGACCTTAATGTTAGTGTATAGTTAAATAAATCATAAAACCATAAAAGGATGACGTAAAAGAAACACCCAAAAAAAGTAACAGAAACAGTCACTCCCTATGGCGCGTTGCAATGGAAAAATTATATTAGTGGAGATATAACCCAAGGAGGGTTGACGTCAGGCAGGTGGCCTGTCGTAAAGTTCCTGCCAGAGATCTAAGCAGCATCATCAGAGGACATGCTGCGCCAATTCCACATAATGTGGTTTAAGGACAAGTATAAGAAGAAGAAGCTACAGCTAGTGGCTATAAAAGGTAAAGAAAACTAAGCTTAAGGACCTATTATTTTCTTAGAATTTCTATATGACCTGTGCTGATGTTATTACTGCTTTCTGTCTACAGTATCATAGTATCGAAAAGTGGTTATTCTAGCTGGAAGTTGGAAGAAGTTCTTAATGATCCAGAAAATTATACATATAACTAAGAGACGTGAATACGTCAGAGGGTCCTACAACATTAGAAGGTTCTTTCTTCACTTATAATGTTCTGACTCCGGCTACATCTAGCTCGACTATATTTTCATATAGTGGCAGATCTTCTTCATAATTTATTCCCGCTTTCCACCTCTGATTGTACTGATGGTAGAGCGTAATGTAGCCCCGCACCGGTGACTACCATGACCATCCGACCTTGTTCTACTGCGAAATATGTAACGGCAGTGTTCACCTTATTATTTTTATGGACCTAGTTCGGTTTATAATTCCGAAGTAGTCAATTGTCATATGTTTAAATAAGACCACCATTTTTGTGCCACACTTGTGGTTTCCTCGAATACGATGTTTATGAATTTCCTATCAACGAAATTCAATTTTCAATTTTTATCCTAATTTCGAAGCTTAGCCTTTAACCTATTGTTTTGGGAGTCTTATCAATCTCAGACAAGACATATGCCTGTATACATATCTACTTTACAGTAGCAACTTTTATATCAACGAATAAGAATACCCATGAAATCACAATGATGCACTCTTCGTTTTTCAAGTTCAGGATTATTTCGTCTGTTATACTTCATAGGGGGAGGGGGCGCGAGCCGCGAATGCTGCAGCGGTGCGTGTACCATCGGTTGCGGCGCGGGCGGCATGGCGTGCTGTTGCGGCATCGCCAAAGTCTGCGGCATGGTCTGGTAAACATTCGAAAAAGTCTTATTTAATTTTAAAATTGGTTTGTTCTATATACACAAATAGCACACCTAATGTACCTGCTGATGGTGTAGATGCGGGCCAGGATGTGGCTGCACTTGTGGAGCACGTAGATGCGGAGGCGGGTGGTACGGCGGCGGAGGCGTTCGCCGTGGCCCTCCCTGAAAAAGAATACATTTTTCGTTTCCTCGTCGTTTATATATAGCTCTCAGTCTTTGACGGTCATGATTTATAAACAGTAGGTATTAAATATAGATTTCCATTTAAGTATTGTAGATTCGAGTAACATTTATGCTCATCTCACTATTATGTCATGAATTCCCGCGTAATAAACCAGACCTTAACCATGAATAATGTTAATAATTTCCTTACCTTTGTCGAAGACTCAACTGTAAAAATTAAAGAAGAACGGCAGACATACATATTTTAGATCGCAATGCAGGAGATGGTACCATCGTTCGCAAGGGATATCGCTGAGCACCGTTTTCGGAGATATTTACCTGCATCGAGTTCCCGGGACTGCCTTGGTCGGAACCCGGCGGCGTCAGCGGCGACATGTAAACGAGTCGCGACGGCGGATACTTGGCGTACGATGTCGGCGGCTGATGTGGTTGTTGCTGCAGCTGTGGCGGCTGCGGCTGCGCGTACGCAGGAGGAGCGCACAGTCTTTCCGTCTTGATCTCGAGAGGACTGAGTAGCGGTGTAGCGCATTCTTCGAGCAATGCTTCATCTGCTTCCAATTTGACGTGTGTGGCTCCCAACGGAGCGAGCATGTTCGCATTCTCGGGGTCGATGTTTCTGATAGAGGAGGCAATGTCCTCCCACAAGGCAGGACGGAGGAACGCATCGTCGCGGGAGGAAGTACCGCCATCGAAAAGGTCCATGTGGGCGGGCGCGAGTGAGGCGCCCTCCTGCTTGCACAGCAGCGACTCAAGTTCCGATGTCTGAAAATGTTTATTTAAAAATTTAATATTAATGTTAGATATTAAATTATGATAAGACACCCTACTTTTTCCTAAATCATAGACATATTACTTAAATTTAATCGTACCGAGGTGGCCGGGTACGATGACTGGGATGAAGGAGGTTTAATAGTACACGGTATTCTCTGTGTACAGGATAGCAGTAAGACTCTGGTATTGTATATTATTTTGTTAATTAGGAACATTTTTAGTCTCTTCTGGTTTTATTTGGATAAACAAACTGGTTTAGTTTACTTTAAAGAGTACAGTGAGGTCTCTAATACTACATTTACAAATAAGTTATTGATCATTGTTCATGTTAATTTGTGTTACGTAGTAAGTAGCATACGTTGGTAAGTAGGATAGTTATTAGTAAAAAAAATGATGCTTTCATCGAGGAAATTCGACAACCCTGATGTACTCGTGGATGACATTTTAAGTTATGTTGATATTAAGTTAAAATATTAACGTTTAAAATCATTTCGCCATGAACATTATTTCTATTACGGGTCATTTCAAACGTTTTCTTATAATATTTTTCATAAATTAGTCTCTTACTCAAAGGTTTTCAATTCAAACATTCACCTATTATTCTTATTTTTAATTTATTGTAACCTAGATCATATTTAATATCTTCAAAAAAATCTTACATATACTTGAATCTAAATCAATATAGATCACTGAGTCTAATGGTTATCTTAAACATTGGAACAATAGTTTTTTTTTTTGTGATTGATGGTTTACTGGTGGCCCGGAGACCTTTTCAGTTTCACAAGGACAGGTAGGCGAGCAAGGGCTCAGCCGGAAGGGGCGAGATTTGCTAACAGCTACCCGAGCGTCTTCAAGGGAGACCTAACAATTCAAGAGTAGCTGCTTCGCGAATTAATCTACTACCGGATCGGAATCACGACCCGCTGAGAAGATCCGGTGAGAAACTCAATGGGCTGATACTTAGCTTAGGTTGCACGTAGAACTCTTTGGCGAGTTCGATGAGTGCGGCTACCGGGGTCTCTACTTCTACTGTTAGAGTGGAAGGCGTCTAATGCAAAGGTTATTGGATCTGATGGATCCGTAAAGACGTGTCTAGGGCGTCGACGGTGACTGGCTCCTGCGTGATCAGGATTCGGGGAGTAGTCAGCGGCGGCAACGATTGAAAAAATAGTGTGCCTACGTCATTACATCTATTCCAGGTAACATAAAATAATTCAATTTACCCTTAAAATATACCTCATTTGTTTCCCTGTACGTTTCTGTACCTCCATAGTGACTGAGCCAATTCACATATTATTTTCAGTTATCGAGACAGGCTTGAGCTAATATAATTTAATGTTGACCTTTTACAAATCAATTGACAAATGAGGAAAGGTATCCATTTTCAAGCGCGTGCAGTAAAATCGCGATTACGCTTTCTTTTGTTATCCAATAATAATTCGCCTGGTCGGTATTTGACAGAGTACGGCTCTGTGCCGACGCGGACGGATCCATCAGCATACAATAGCTATCGACCCACGCGCGGCCACAGGTGACGACCAAGCTTTCTATCTCTTCGTGAAATATGCTAACAGATACTCATATAATTCTCTGTTTGGTTATAATTGCGATGAAACTTAATAACCATGGAGAGGCTGTATGTTTTATAATTTCCTAAAATTATTTAGTTAATACCTACTTTCTTAAATTTATTTGAATCTGCTGAACGTTAACCAAAAAGAAGCTCTACGTGAGAACACATAACATTTTAGAATAAGATATCTTTTTTAAGTACTATTTATATGTGTGTTTTCTTTAATTAAATACATACATTTAAAAGACTGACCGAACGAACGTTACATAAAGAATGCTGACTTATTTTGTACTATTTTGTATATACAATTTGTGGCCCCGTTTAGCTTTTACTAAATTATGGCCAAACTAAAAGCAACAAATGATTATTCACAAAATGTTCTTTGCTCAAAGAGTAGGTATTTGCCGATAAGAAATGGTACGCAAATACGTGTATGTATTGATAAGCTTTTGTCCGTTGTTTTATCTATATTTACCTTTCTATTGTTTACTTGAACTGTTGAGGGAGGGGCATTACTTTCGTCATACATGTACATATGTACATAAGTACATGTGTAGGTTTGGTCGATACGTAATTTGCCGTAGTTATAAATATTCTCACTTGCACTCATTAAGGTTCTATGTCAGTTATACACAAGAATGTAGACAAAGCTTTTTATTTTTTTCTTTAGTTACAAACTATAGAATACGATAGACTTAAATTTAAAGATACCGATATTTATACAATACTTGTAGAATATACACAATATTAATTTAAATATTAAGCTCACATAAAGATCAGACATCTAGGCAATTGCAAATCCATATATTTATTGACAGCTTAAATTAACGTGGGAATGTTTAAATCTCGAATATACAGAACATAAATTCTTCAGCATAAATTAAAGTTCATAATAAATAGTCTAATCAAATTTAACGGTTACAGATTTACAAATAAACAGGTGGGTCTCAAACTAAGTGAGTAAGCGACTTGTGCAGAGGGATTTGTATCGTTTAGAACCTCCGCGGAACAGCGCGGTGTTGCAAGCACTGGACCGCGCAAATTCCTTCCATGACCTTTGTGGATGGAACGATTGCGTAGCTGCTCCTCCAGCATGAGACCGGCTTGAGCAACCACCAGCACAGACTAAAACTGCGCAGATCGGACATCGTATCGAAGGCGTTGTTCGATACCAATCTTAATTATTAATTCTGTTACGGAAATTGCATCAATAAATAATGCGAACTAGTTGGGATATTAAATATATCCGAGTATATATACATATTTCCGATTGAATATAGTTTTAAATTATGAATTATGAGTTTGTATTGTGTTATAAATATTAATGTATAAAAATATCTGTTGTGTGGTGTATGTTGGTTGGTATGGTTGTATGTTGTACCTATTGGTGTTTTATTTTATTTACGTTTAAATAAATCCTTTGTGATTGATTTCTTGTTTCGTTAGGTGACTTCAACTGAAGAAGAATCAGTTCACACCATTCTCGATTTTTTTTAGAAATCATTGTATGTTTCGAAAAAATCGTAACTGTCATCTCTTTTCATAGTTTAGCTCGTTTTTTAATATAAATAATATTCTAGTTGAAATTTTAAAAAGATCGCTTAAAATCAAAGATAATTTTAATAATGATGAATTTAAACAATCAATTGAATTGTAATTAAAAGCGCGACATATTCGCTTCCAAAACGTTTATTTTAAATATTAAAAATAATAATATTAACAAATAAAATTATTCTTTGTAGATAGTTAAGCGCCAGTCGGTGTCTGATTCGCTTCAGTTTAGCTCTTTTATGAGTCTAGCAAAATCAGCCAGTTTATATCGCACAAACGGCTATTGTGAAACTATTGAACCTCCCGTTCTTGCATCCGCGTCTCTGATGAAACACGCACTTGCACTAGATTAAAAACTGATAGATTATTATTTATTCGGGGCATTCAATAAAGCAGGTCAGGTTTGCAAGTTTCATTCAATTCGATACAAAGATTGATGTGTTCTATCGAATTGGCGCAATCCTAGAGTCGTATTTATGCGCGAGAGGCGTTTTTCTAGATCTAATCTGATGAGAGAAACGTGTTTCAGAGAGAATAATTAATAAACACACTATTTTAATATTTCAAACGTTGACAATGCGATTGTAATGCGGACGTTGCAGTGGTAAAATGTTATTAGAAACTTGTTCTTAAGTAAGTAGAACTGCAATGAATTTCAGTGTGGAATAAAATATTATTTATTGTACACTAGCTGACCCGGCAGAGTTCGTAGTGCCTCAATCGATAAATAAAAGCTTAAAATTAAACTTAAAACAAACAATAGGAATCGGTCCGACGGGAAAAACAAAATTGTTATTTAATTCCGAGCATTTTCATATTTATCTACCTTTTAAACCTTCTATGTACTTCCACAAATAATTCAAGACCAAAATTAGTCAAATCGGTCCAGCCGTTCTCGAGTTTTAGCGAGACTAACGAACAAAAATTCATTTTGATATCTATAGATTAATATAAAATCAAAACAAATACAGATACAAAACCTTATATACAAAAAATACAATGGGCGGTCTTATTGCTGAGAGCGATATCTTCCAGGCAGCCCTGAGCTGAACAATCACTTAAGGATCTTTCCTTTCCGTTTTTTACTTTAAGATCGGTGTACTTAATTCATATCACACAAAATGTTCAACAATTTAATTACAAAGATCTGTGAGCGCGAACGTTATTTATAAGCGCAACGTCTTAAGGAAACATGATAGGTGTACATTAGGAATATTATAAACTGAACATGGAATCAGATCTAAAGATATGGGCTCCCAAGGCTGCTTCGCAAATGGGAATGGGCAGGTCACGTCTATCGCACAGAACAGATAACCGATGGGGCAAGCGTGTTCCGCAGTGGGGTTCCGCTACTTGGCAAGCGAAGGACAGTTTCGCGATGCCTAGAAATTACCCGTGTGTAACGGGTGACGGCGCTAAATAATGTTTAAGGTATATTTCTAAACTTTAGTGTGGAAGTAGCAGTAAGTTAGCCAATTAACGGTTAACTGCTGTTCTGTGAACGAACTTTTTTTTTTTTTTTCTTTTTCTTTTTTGGTTTAAACCTTTTAGTACAATTCACACGCACACATCCGATAGCATTTTTCAAAAGAATAATTTAGCTGCGTTATTTTTACTTATGCAGAAAGTTCGTTCGCCAATTATGTAGCATATTTGAGGATTTAAATCTATTTGATATAAAAACTATAGACATGGGTTGACCATTAAAAAAAATTATAAGGACTCTGTATTTTTTTGGAATTAATAAAATTAAATTTTCAGTAATTACAGTAGGTACGGTACCATTAATTACACTAGATTCTTATCGATAATTGTATGTATATAAATGTTGTATGTGTGTATTACGTACAGAAACGTTCAGTGTAAT